ATATTAGAATGACTTGTTTTAAAACTTTTCATATTGAGGGTATTTTTGAAACTTTAAATTTTTAAAATAGTAAACGGGTATTTTGAAAAGGGTATTGTTGAATTTGGGGTATTTTCAATAATTTCTCAAGGCTAAACTGTCTTTATTCAATTCATTGTCATCACTAGTTCTATCGATATGACTGTCGTCGCCGCAATGGGGCCCATGGATCCATCAACTTTTTGTAACATGGATTTGGGTTGTTTGCTGTCTGGAAAAAAACACAAACAGACGAAATTTAATGAAGAAATGACATGGAGCCTAGTCAATAAAATCCAACACTTATCCATTTTGATTGTAAAGTTGCAGACTCACGTTTGTTTTCAAATCCAATTGTAGGATGTAACATAAAAATCATCACGCAACGAATAGTGCGTCAAAACACCTCCCTCTAAATTAAAATATTTTTCTAATTTATTTATGAGCCTATAAATTTTACTTTTTTTTTCTTTATTAGTTCTAGATGTTATTGCACGTTACTAGATTCTAGTAACGTGTTACAACAACTAAAGATTGTGGTAAAACGGTGCTTGGATATGTGACATTGTTTATGAATAGACGAGCCTAATCTAATAGCATCATATTATTAATTTAATATCTAAATTTGTGAATGATCTATTACGAGAGATTTTTGAAATTACAAATACATTTATTCAATGTAAATTAAGATTTGAGATCTTCGATGAGTTCAATTTGCAAATTTATTGTATACACATGACCAACAAGAAGAAAAATAATTATAATAGCTATATAGAAATATGTGTGGTACGTGACAAGTCACGATTGGCATACATCTAGACTTGTTAGAGCAAATATAATGTTGATGCATAAGGCAATGTGGTGCTTAAAGGCGTAACAACTTTTGCGTTGTTCTTCTCGATATCGTTGGCCTTACAACAATTACTTTACAAGATGAATTTCACAACCAACTTTATCTTGTGCGTCATCATACAATTTGTGGAACACAAAAAGAAAGGACATGGCTCCTAACTATGTTTGGAGGGCAATTGAACAAGTAGCTCATGAATATTACGAGTTTGAATGGGGAGTGATTTGGAATAAGTTGTTTGTTACGAAGCCATATTTTTACAATAACAAAAGCATTTCTTAATACTCGAAGTTTGAAGTGAGTTTAAAGAAAATTCAAATAAATTAAAGTATATATATGATACATCAATGCTGAAATCTTTTTTCAAGATATCTCTTAAGATTTTGGGATCGTTGCTCTGGATCTACAAAGATGTCCATCATTGTGGTTGCATCCAACGTGCAAAACTACCTTTTATTCCCTTATTTTATCGTGGCACTTCTTTATATACTTTGTCAATCTATACTCTACACCTTTTTTTCTTTTACACCAAACAAACAAAAAACTCAAATGAAAATTAGTATCGAATACAATATTAATCCAGTTTCTATTAACTTAAATGTTTATCGTGAAGTAGTTTAACATGATACCAAAGCAAGTAATTATCTCGAATTCAAATTCGAAACATGAATAAAAAATAAATTTGTTTGGTACATAAAGAACATGTAATGTCATAAACTTTTGGACGATATAATTTAACAAGTGGAAATCAACCTAGTTCATCGCTCCAATACATACCTTTGTCAAACAAACCGAATTCACAAACAAAATAAGATGGAATCGAAAGAGTGTAGATGGGTGAAGCCATGAAATTTTGCTCTGTTCATAGTATCTTCTGCCATCAAATTTTGATAAAGCTGTTTTCTCTGTTCATAGTATCTTCTGCCATCAAATTTTGCTCCTTCGTAAAGCTGCATCTGCGGTTGGTCGG